GACATTTTCGTGTGCGACGAAATTAGTGTTGAGTAGTTTAGATACCTATTTTATTTATTTAAATTACTCACCAATAACCGGAAGTGGTCGTTCCACCGGCAAAATAGGGGGGAGATCCTTAGGAGGTTCTGGATCAGCCATTACTTTCGGACTGTTCGAATTTCCGGGATCGTCAATCTCCACATACGAGACAGGCTTATGAGATCTAGTGCTTTTTCTGGGACTGGAGTCCGCGTTTGGATCTTAAAATTTTAGCACCAATAAGGGACGATTCGACACTGTACAGGGTGTCCCATAAATATATGACCGACGTTTAGAATTTATCATATATCAGTTGGAAAGGTTAGACATTTTGTGCAATTTTTTGGCTGCAGATACTGTCAAGTAGAGTGTCATTTGTTGAAAGCATCATCTTCAATGTGAATTATAATTATTTTGAAAAACAGCTCTGCTTTTATTTTCAATAATTATTAACAATTCAACAGTAAGTAATACTTTGCTGATTGAAATGTGTCAGCAAAATTAATATTTGCTGCCAATCGGAGAAAAATAAATATACCCTACTCTAATGGTGATTTGTAGAAATTTTCCTTGAAATTTTCTAATAGATGAGATTCAAACTTGTGTTCACTTTTGGTTAGTTATTGGATGTTTTCAAGGCATTTTCTAGTTTCACTGTTATGAATACAACTGCTAGAGGAGATAGATCTGACCCTCATATTTTTGTGTCAAAGAAATAGGAAACTGCAAGGGTTCAAGTAATGATGACTGCTTTGTGTTATTTCATTTTAAAAGTTCCAATTAAAACCTGTAAAATTAAAAATGTCATAAAAACATATTCTACTAAAACCTCATTAGAGAGCAATGAAAAGGATAGAATCAAATATCTAGAAAACTGAATCCAATTAACTTTTATTTGTTGAAAGGATATTAGACCTGAGTGAAAATGTATTATCTGAATTTAACCCAAAGATCTGTACCTTGGTTGGTACCATTGTTACCTACTAAAGACAAATTATATGTAATATAAGTTCTCACCAATTTTGATGATAGTGTTAGGAGACTGATTATAATCATCAATAATTGTTAGTCCTTTTAGAGGTCTAAAATCTGGACGAAACTGGTTGTACAAGTTCAACTGTATCCCATCTAAAACTGTTCTTATTTCAGCAACTTTTTTAGATAAATCTGTGGTGTCCTCTGAAAAAACATGATTCCAGTAAAATATACAGCTATATCTCAATGTACAACCAAAAACTACCTTCTACTTTCTTGTTTTCATTCTTTAAATACTCTGTCTCCAGCTTGAAATGGTTCTCCAGTTTGAGTTCATCTAAAGTGGCCTGTAATATTTCATCAATATTTTCACTTATAAAATCAAAGTTCTCCTTCACAATATATTCTATATCTTCTTTCTCATCATCTTCCTCATCACTATCATCAATTTGCAAAGTCTCATTGATGATAGGGTAGTCTACTCCAAGAAGGAGCTTGCCATTTTTCAAAGTAGTACTCAAGTTATCAAAGTCTTCTACAGACTTTGTATAGCAATCTTTACAAATTTCTTCTTTATGAGTTTTTGACCTTTTAACTCTGAAGTAGGAAAGACAAAAATCAGGGGCCAGTATAAACTCATTGCATGAGCTGTTGCATGAAGTATTCAAACA